GTGGTTGTGATACAGTCACTGAGAAGTTGTTCTTGCAGCACAACATGCTTTTAACATTACCCTTTGAAGTAGTTAAGTTTGCAAATCTGAAGATGCTAGATCTGTCTAACAACAGCTTGACACATGTGAATGACTTCGTGTTGCATCTTCCGGAGTTGCAAACCTTGTACCTCCGCAACAATAGTTTGACAGACGATTCACTACCTAAAGAACTGTCAACTCTCTCTAAACTAAGAGAATTGAATCTGAGTGGGAATCAGTTCACTGCAGTGCCAACTCAACTCTATGAGATGAGTGCTTTGAAGTACCTGTACCTTGGAAACAACAGGATTACAGAAGTCTTACCGGACATCAGAGCCATGCAAGGGTAGGTTGTTAGATCACGTCTTATTTATTGTGCAGCCCTCATTCATTTCATTCTTACCATTTCTCTGAACCTGTCATATGAAATTGACTGAAGAAAGTATGAATATTTGAGTGCTTATTTTGTTCCTGACTATGACAGTTTATTGATTTTCTCAGTATAGACATAATAAGCCATTTTCAAATATTTTATTAATAGCTGTTCATGGTGATATTAACATGATGATCATGTGTAGAATTACTGATAATTTCTCTAAACCCTTCTTATGAAGTGATATGCAAAACAAAGAAAAGTAGAGTTTTTTGTTATGCAGGATACCAGTTTAGAAAAAACAAAAACAAAAGGATCACATCATACATCAGAAACTGCTTGTTTACAACCTCATGGTATGCATGCAATCTGGCTTGTGTAATTAAGATAATGTTGAAGGAGGAATTCAGAAACTGCATTCTTAGCATTTTCTGTTTCCTCTTATGCCTCGTTTTCTTCCTATATTCCTCTCCTTTATATTCTTTACCTTTTACTTTTAGGTTTCTGACTGAGCCTTCTAAATTTCTATTTGTATTTTATTAGATTTTTTCTTTGCTATTCCTTGTGTTATTAAATTTTCTTTGTAATCTCCTTAACCTTCATTTCCTTTTATCTTTACTCTGTCTCATCATTAAGATTATATATGTAATTGAATAGTTTGTATAAGAAATTTGTTTTAGTTGCAGAATTATTGTGACATATAGTACCTAGGAAGGATTACTCTTTTGAAAATGATAACGATTTATTATATTACTGCTGCTATTAATTGTGTTGGCTTTAGATGATTTTTTTTTTCTTTTTGTCTTATTCCATTGTAATATCATTATTTCAGTATCATCTTCATCTTCATCCTTTTAGTTTTGATTATTGATTTCATTTTTTTAGTAATGTCTATTACAATTGTTCGTGTTGTAGTTTTCAGTTTATTATTATTATTATTGTTGTTATTATTATTTATTATTATTATTATTATATTATATTTTATTATTATTATTATTATTATTATTGTTGTTACTATTATTATGATGATGATGATGATGATGATAGGAACAACAGTATTGTTAATGATAATAATAATAATAATGATTGTTATAATTATCATCATTATCACAACCACTATCATCATCATCATCATCATTATCACTATCACTATCACTATCACTATCACTATCATTATCATCATAATCTGCATTGCCATTTTGAAGTATTATTAGCATTATGATCCTTACTAATATATGTAATGTTATAACCACTATTATTTTGTATTTAAGATAAGCAAATATCAAAATATGGTTATTATTGCTACTGTTGTAACTGTTGTTGCTGATGATCTGGTTACTTTTGTTTTTATTTTATTTCATATCATCATTACTAGTGGTAGTAATAGTATATACCAATATTGTTATTATATTATTATCATTGTTACAAGTTAATATTGTTATTTTTATTATTAATATTATTATTCTTGTTATTGTTATTGTTAGCTATTATTTATTTAATGATGTTATTGTTGTTATTAGTATTATCATTATCATTATTGTAAACATTATTATCATCTTTATATCATCATCATCATCATCACCACCATCACCATCATTGTTTTTTATTTTATTATTATTATTTTGTTTTTTTGTTATATTATTATGTTATTTTTTAATTATTTTTTTATTATTTTAAATATTTTTTTATTATTTTCATCATCATCATCATCATCATCATCATCATCATCATCATCATATTTGTTATTATTAGTAGTAGTATCATCATCATCATTATCAATATATATCTATCTATTATTATTATTATTATTATTATTATTATTATTATTATTATTATTATTGTTGTTTTTATTATTGTTACAGTTATTGCTATTAGTAGTAGTAGCTGTAGACTATTGTTATTTTTTATCACTTATTGTTATCAATATTGTTATGATTATTGTTATTGTTGTTTTTGTTATCATTATCATCATTAACAATATTAACATTATCATTATTGTTATTATCACTAGAATTACCATTATTATTATTATCCTCATTAATCATTATTATTGATTATTATATGTTATTATTATTATTATTATGTTTTTATTGTGAATTTGATTTT